TAAATGGTTTGTACTTGCTTATATTTAGATTAAACCGAAAAAGTATCAAACCATTTCTAAAAATGTTCACGAAAACCGAGTGTTCGACTATTCTTAGTGAACGATAACTTAAAAAAAAAACCATTTTGCTATTACTTACTAAATGAGTCAAAAAAAAATATGATGCTTTCGACATACCAAAACCACCTGTACTTTGGATTCTACCTGCAGAATTATGGTACCTTTCAGATATTAGCATTTGCAAATTACTGATTCTTTTTCGCATTCTCTCTAGGTGCATCATTTTGGTTTTACGTTTAAATGGCCGGACAAATTTACATCGATCACAGTTGTGAAGAGAATGTTGAAGCTACAGCTTGTGTCGCTTAAACTATCTTTTTAGTAATTTATCCAAGCTGAAAAATCAGTTGGAATCAGGTGAAGAGAATCATATTGTTGTTGTTATTCGCAGTGGTTTAGTTTGGCTCGTAAAAAGTGTGAGCGACATTTTGAGAATTCGTTTACAGAATATTAAAATAAAGAATAATTTTATTTTACAGAAATATCAACGAGTTGATGACAAAAATGAAATTAACGGATCTAAACATTGACTGTCTGGAGAGTGTCTTGGAGTATTTGGAGTTTGGTGACTTTTTAAGTGCAGCAAGCGCAAGCAAGCGACTGAACGAAGCGGCCAACTTTGTTTTCGTACAAAAACGCTGGCGAGAACTCGTACTTTTTGAAAATATACATATTTCACGAGATCGATCATTTCAAAATACAGGATGGATTACCATCCGTGACTTAAAGACTAGTTTACAATTCATACGATGCTTCGGACACTTGGTTTCCGATATAGAGTTAACACAAAAGAAATTTGATATCGATCAATATGTCATCAATTACATAAACGAATATTGTTCAGACTCTATTACATGCATCACAATTGAAAATGGTCTGAAGGGCTGGAAACATCTCCAGAAACCATTTTCCAAAGTTGAAGAAGTCATTTTAGTTAAATGCAGTGGGGCTGTTAGGGATTCTCTAAATAAATTATTCCCGAAAATGCGAGAATTACAATTAAAACATTGTAGCCGCGAATTCCACTCTGGTATTTCAAGTCACTTTCCTAATTTGAATGTTTTGGACATTATTGATCATAAACGCAGCGTATTGATATCATGCGGTGAAAGTATAGCTCCCGTTTTGCGTTTGAATCCACAAATTACTTATTTGGATATCAAAACAGATTACGGTCTCTTAGATTCAAGTGATTTTCAGAGTGCGATCAAAACTTTACAAAAACTTGAAACCCTCTACATAAGTGGGAATACATTGTCGTCTAAATCCATTGATAGTAAAATACATTTGGAAAGTGTGAATGATTTTGGCATCGATATACGTAGCAATCATATTATTGAAATTCCCTTTACATTTGGTAAACTTAAAGAATTAACTATGAGTTTTCCCCATGGATTGACTGCCACGTTCTTCAGTTTCATTGATAAATATCCTACAATAACAAATTTAGAACTTGATGTTGACAATTTATATGTTATGGACCAGATGCAAATAGCCAAAACACTACCGTTGCTTACTAAAATCAATCTCTATGAATGCAAACTTTCAGCCAATGAAGCAGCTCAATTCATGTCTAAGTTTCAAAACCTTAAGAACTTCACATTCTATATAAATGAGGTCACTGCCTACGACGATTTTCGTGCACTGTTAAATAATGATTGGAGGTGTGAAATCAATGAATATGGAGAGATATTTGTAGAAAGATGCAGTCCCAGGGCAAAAAAACGCAAGTTAAGCTAATCACACGTTCTAAGCCCAATATCAATGTGTGAGCAATGTGACGGAAAAAAATTCATTTTGCTTATTGTTTTAATACCAAATTTTTTTACATTGGTAATCCTGAACTTTTCCGTACCGTTGGCCTGCGTTGTCCGTAGGTACTTTTGGTTATTTTTTGTGAATTTTCTTGAAATAAAGGCAGTGAAAATATAATAATGAAAATAAAGTGAAAAATCGGTCACTTTAACTAAAACTTCGACAATTTTGTATGAGAGGTACCTGTGATCCGATTCTCATTGGCTTTAAACTTTCTGAGGTTTCATTTTTTGGAGAAAAAAATAAGATTCTGAAAGTTTCATGTTGATCGGATTTGCAGAAGTTTGGTTTTGGCCCTCAATTTTTTCCAAGAAAATGTCGACAAAAATTGAGGACAAAAAATCAAACTTCTGCAAATGCGATCAACGTGAAACTTTCAGAATCTTTTTTTTTTCTCCCAAAAAATGAAATCCTAGGAAGTTTGAAGCCAATCGTAGTCGATTTACAGGTACCTCCCATACAAAAGTGTCAATTTTTTGAGGTTTTACTTAGGGCAAGTACCCCAGGATCAAATCGAAAATGGCTCATCTTCGAACTTAAACTAAGTTTATTGGATACAAAACTTTTGGGACTTTCAGATTTGGATTATCTCAATTATTTTTTGAGTTATCGTGTTAACAAACAGCTACGACAACGACAACGACAACGACAACGACAACGACAACGACAACGAC